CTATGGGCAGCTGGATCGAAGATGGCGCCTTTCCCTACAGCCATAGCACCTAGGGCTGTATCCATTATTGCGGTCGCGAACTGTACCTGCTGCAACCCCCCTGACGCGATGGGATCGAAGATCCTGCCGCGCGGCTTCAACCTCAAGTGCATGGGACAAGGCTTCCTTAAGCGCCACGTGGTGCCCGAGCCTCACAGCAGCTCTGACTTGAAGGTCGCGTATGCCGTCGATGAATGTCTGCACCAGGTTCCCTTCAATGAGCGCAGGTACAGACCGGTATGTTTTTCGCCCCAGCTTCTCCACCTCTAGAGCCCACTGCTGCAGGTTTTCGTTGCTGCGTTGCACGCGATCTTTAAGCTGCGCTCGAAAGACGTTTTCCAGGTGAGCGTCGCCATATCTAGCCTCCAATGCCTCAAGGAGCTGCTCGTAAGTCACTTCTTTACCGAGAGCTTGTAGAACAGTTAAGGCCTGGTCTGGCAGGCCTAGTGTGAGAACAGTCATGGCCTGACTTTTATTCCAGCCGTTCGCCTTCATAACAGCTTCTAACTGGATTTTGTAGGCCGACCAGGAAGAAGTCCCGCCGAACGGTGGCACTTTGAACCCACGTAGCGAAGGTTTAGTAGCTACTACGGGAGCTGTAGTTCCATCCCCAAGTTTGAGGTCGTCCAGCGTTTTCTTCACGTCAGCCATCACGTTGTCAATCCGATTGTTCACTTGGTCGATTTGGGTTTTAGCTTCCTTGATTTAGATTTCAGCTTCCGACAGGCGGTTGTCATGTTGATCAACCCTCACCGTTCACCTCCTTTATCTCTTTCCCGAAGTTAGCGTGAATGTCCTTCACGAGAAGCATCTGCTCTTCCTGTCGGCGGGCCTGTTCCTCCTGTTGCTCTTCCAACCGACGGACCTGTTCCTCCTGTCGGCGAGCCTGCACCTGCAGCATCACCACCAGAGCACCTAAGTCAGGTGCTGCAGGTGTAGGATCTGCTGACGGGCTAGCCTCCGTGGCTGACAGTTGGCCCTCTGACGTCTGCGGCGTTGTACCACCAAATCGTCTCTGGTCCGTCTCCTGCTGGCGTTGACTTCGGGTACGGACACCCTCCGTTTCCTTCTTAGGTAAAATCGGCATGATTTTATCCCACTTCTGACACCAATTGTTATGAGCTTGAGGTTCGCGACAGTAAAAACTGCCGATTGAATTACCAAAATTTACACTTTTATTTCCGAACACCAATTAAAATTTAAAATACACTAATAATTATTCACACTGATTCACTTTATTTCGCTCCGAATCGTCGCTTGTACTACCAATTCAATACCTTAGGCTTTAAATACGCCTTATCCACCGAAACATCCAGAATGTTCGAGAGTGGACCCTTCTAGAAAGCTTAAGCTTCTTTTGTTCGATACTAGATGGCGCTGTTGGTGGAAATGTGGCGGCGCTGTCGTCGCGCCGCAAGCGAAACACACCGAAGCCTAAATCACGCTATCAACATTCCGAATCGTAAACTGTATATATAGAACATCTCCGAAAGTTCAAGATTGGCATTTTCTAGAAAGCCCTCCTCGCTCTGTTCCCCGACACTAGACGGCGCTAGTGCCAGGTACCAGACATCAACTTAGGCGCGCAATAATATATACGTGTCAACAGTGATAGAGCCACGCGTCAGTCTTTGCTGTTGCACGTTAGGGCCGGCTCAAACCAGGGTGGTACCACGACCTCACAGAAGACCAGCGTGAAGTAGCTGCTTCTGCGTTTCGTCTGGTGAGTGCAGGTGGCTGGAGGCCCAATTCGACCTCCCCCCCCCCCCCGCCATCAACATGGTAGCGGAATTAAATGCAAGACTATCCCAGGAGGGTACCAGCACCCCTGGAGAATCCCTCGCTGAGCATCCACGATACTTTTTGTTTCGCTGAGCGTGCCACGTTTTTCAAGGTTAGCACACTACTTTGCTAAACAAATTTGACAGCTAACGTGAAATGAGATATCGTCTTTTTATAAAATACAGTTTTACGTGTTGTATGTTATGAATTTCGTATTATATTTTGTTGTGAACAATTTAGACTCAGTATTTCAACCATTTTCAACACAATGTTTGGGTGCAAAAGTGATAGAGGAAGGAATATGCCAGGGTTGTCTTTTCATTCGTAAGTATACCACTTTTTTATTACAAGGCTTTCTGTAACGTTTTACAAAATTCATATTGTTGCGTGAATAAGTCAACGTCATACACTAGCGCCATCTAGTGTCAGGAACGAGAGCGAGGGGATCTTTGCAGGAAATGACATCACAAATCTTTCAACCGACAGCGCCATCCGAAGATCTAAGTTTCTAGAAAATCTACATTCGAACACTCGTCGCTTTGCGCGCATTTACTTGAATATTCCGGATGCTTCATTGCTAATTTGTATATATAGGCGCTGCAAGATGCGATCGGGGCAGTATTGGATTTGGCGAGACAAGCGAAGCTTCAGAGCGGAATAAAGTGAATTAGTGTGTTTAATTATTAGTGTTTTAAGTTTTAATTTGTGTAAAGTAAATTAAAGTGTTAATTTAGGTAATTTTATCGGCAATTTTTATTGTCACGAACCTCAAGCTCGTAACAATATATTATGTATTATGTACTCTAGACGTTTAAGGCTGAATCAACAAATACCTTTTCCTTTTTTTATTTATTGTCCATTTCGTTAAAATTTATAACATTGGTACATTGTAGACTTGTGTCAATCGTTCATTTCTCGTGACCGAATCACTCTAGTACATTTCGTCACGCGTACCGGTACATTCGGATGGATCATTCAAATGGATCATTTCGTGCTCCGTTACCCTACACTAAAAACAATTCGTTCAGATCATTTGGGATTCGGTCGGTTTTCGACTCATTCACAATTCACACCAATCACGAGTTAAAAGGGTTCCATCAATTGTGTGTGATTGGTTGTACCGGAACATTCAAAAACAGATGATTGAACCATCAATACTTTTAAGTGTACGAGCTCAAACGAACGAATCATTCATGATTAACACATGTCTAGTACATTGTCAAAATTACAATCAATTCAAATGATACATCATCATTCAAATGATTACATTAGATTACTAAAATTACAAATTAAAATATATCTACATTTACATTATTTTACATGTCAAGCAAGTCAGAAAATGAACATTTCATATATTCTTCTGTATTATAGAAAGCGTGATTCAAAAAGTACCTATGTTTTTGTCACTTGTCGAAACGCTTTTAATGGCAGTTAAGGCAATTTATTGTACATTTTGATTTTTAACGAAAAACCTTGCTTGAACGCTTTATCCGATTGCGACGTAACCTAAAAGTGTAGTTAGCGATAAGTGAGGAGGGTAATTACCGATCTCGTTTCCATTTATTTAGATTTCTCTATAACAATTTTATTACCCAATAATAGAACATCTCTCAAAGCGCACCCTACGTCTGTACATCATACTCCTACAGTTTGACATCAAAAAGTTGACAAATTATGACCGATAATTCAATAAAAACTACTACCTAGATATATTGCACTAACTTGCACAGTATGTAGTGTAAAAAACAAGGATGGCGTAATTATTATCACATGTGTAGTCTTTCCTGAAAGATTTTAAGGCTTTTTTGTAGTTTGACCACTTCAATTCTAGCTGAAGAGCTAGTCGCTAGATACCTACCGTCTTTCAGTCTTCAATACAAAAGTTGCATATGTATTGAAAAATTGAGTAATGGTAGAATTTAGGAGTACTTTAATGAAATAAGTAGGCTAGACAAAATTACTTTTTATTCATCATCCTCTCTTACAACTACAACATCAAGGAGTGATGCTGGCGCTGGTAATATTGTCGGCTGATGCCTGGCCCACCCAAGGTACCACACAAGCATCATAACATGTGCACATCACCCAACTGTCCTTCGATTCGATACCCTCCGTGAAACCTGACATGTTCACTATATAAGGACCTTGCCTGTTGAATCTGATATGTTCCTAGGGCAAATAGCATAACTTCACTATATTCTAGAAGGGCGAATATTGGAATGAGCTTTAATACTAATAAAATCAGATGTTCGTCTATTCATATTCATACTATTCATAAATCAGATAAATTATTATTTAATGGAAATCATTCTCTAATCACTTTTATGATTTGCTCAGCATCATTCCTGTTTTTAAATTGAACACTGAATTTATTTAAAAAGCTTACAGCTATGGACAACATATGCATCATACGTGGACAGCAGTTTTAATAAAAAAAACTTGCCAGAATATTTTAAAGTCTCGTTTGAAGTACCCGTTAACAACTTCCACCACCCATCGGCATATCGCTCACCTAGTAATATAATGGCACATCTACAAAAAATGTGAAATTGAGTTTATACGGCATACATGTTTAAAAGTGCATAATCTACATTCTACATATTGGTAAAACGGCACAACGCTAGTTTCCGTATTCATCGAGAGGTCGTTAGTGTCATTATACCATTATTGCTGTTTCCCCCCGTATCCACGTAAAACAACGGCTCATTGGTCAGTTGTGCGGGCCCCTCCGCTAAGTGCAGCCGCTTCCAGAACTGCGTTGACGTAAGTAACAATTGTGACATTTCGTAAATTAAGTTAATAAGTAAAAAAATTGCACATTTGACAAATGTGACATCGCTTTTATACTTAATGCTTTAATGGTAGTAAAAAAACGACATATTTGACAGATGTGCCGTTTCAATTATTATTGTCGGGAACTTATTGCTACTTATTTGACTGATGTGCCGTTTTAATTACATTAAATCAAGCGTAATGGTACTTATGTCATAATTATTTGGGCTAAAAGGAAGGTCGGGCAACTCTAAAACTAGATTCAACTAACTAATTATTATAAATGTTCAAAATGGGTACGAGAGCGTTACTTGTTTAGGGTGGTCCGACCTACCTTCTAACTACTGTGTTTGTTAAAATAATAAGTTACAATTTGCTATTTTAGAAAAAACGATAATGCTGAAATAATGGCGAATCGAATGCAGCGATTGGTACAACTAGGAAAAGAGGGTTTAGTTCCACCACCTTTTTCTATACCCAATCCTAATTTAAATATAAGCGGTACGTATCCTTTCTCGATTGTTGGACAAAATAATTAAACAAATAATGATGACTACATTATCTTGTTTTGATTTACGATGATTTTTATGTAAAACAAAAAATACGAATCACTTTCATTATCATAAAGCATTTTTTGTATTTTGTAGCGGAAACGTCATCGTTGAAGAAGGCTAATAATAATATTATAACTGAACCTATAGCATAGACCATTACCGATTCCGAAACAGTTTTAACATTACCACTTTTAAATCACAATCCTTCAGATAAAATAAATATTCAAGAAATTAATACTATTTATGACGACGGTATGTAATTGTATTATTATTATTATAATTAAAATCTACGTAAAATCAAATCATTTGATAAAGATGATTTTTTTATATTTAGGTAATGCTAAAGGATAAGATCAATCAGTGGTGCCAAAAAAGCGCAAACGATCTAAATCCTTTTTCATTCATATTCATACTTTTGTTTATACAATTTCTTAAAATTACTTGAGACTAAATCGAAAGTCGTGCAAGTCTTTCAGTTTACGACCTCTAGCTGCATTTCAAGTGGTAACAGTATGTAATAATAATGTTACTTTGCAGATTCTTTGCTGGATGATACCTATGTAGAACCGTTAAGACACGCAAATCGTTTCGATTATGAAATACTTGGTATGCACGAAAACTTGATTCCTATTCCTGATACTGTTAACGCTGGGGTACAAACTATCGGTGAAAATATTGTACAATATGAAGAAATTATTCATGAAGGTATTATGGTTATTTTTTCCTTTATTTCTTTTCTATACACATATATTACATTTTTAAATATTTTTACTAACAAATCAATAATGTTTATTATTATTAATTTGCTGGATTTAATTTGCATATTAAAATTATTTCTTGTTCTTCTCCTTGATTATTTTTTATTGTTGAATATGTATTGCTGGAAGTAGATTATCGTCACCTACGATACTTCAAACAAATAACACTGAAAATACACTGAACCAACAAATGGATATACAAATCGCGTCACATTTCGATGCGACAGCTAGCAATATTGAAGACCATGATTCTGCTGAGCTTGGTACGCATAATTTTCATTATTGTTCACTACCCAACTTTCTTTTTTTTTCGAACTTTCGATTTTATTTAATCTTAATTCTAGGTAAAGAAAATCAAGAGCCAAGTTCTCATTCTATCTGCTTGAATGAAGGCTCAGACTTTTCTGCAGGTAGTGGTGACGAATATAAACCACCAAGGCGTGATAGATCGTCATCTACGAGTTCGTCGATAGTATCTTCTAATATCAAAAGAGGAAAGAAGAGTCAGATACCCAAATAAGTGAAAACAAAATATCAGAATAACTTTGAAAAATTTAGGAAAGGAGTATTCATCTAAAACAGGCAATCAAATAGAAGCCAAAAAATGAGACTCTCGTGCCGTAACTGCAAGTTTTCTTGCTGCGATAACTTTACAACAGATGAACGTCAACAATTATTTGATTGTTATTGGGCTTTAGGATCTTTGCAAAGTCAAAGAGATTTTCTCAGTGCTTGCATTAACATACCGAACATAGTATGTCGTCGTGTAAAAAATCCAGCAAAACCAAGAACACCTAATTGTTTGTTTCTTTTATGAAAAATAGCCAGACCCGAAGAATATGCAAGACGTTTTTGTTAAATACCCTTGGAATAGCACAACGGACATTACGTACAGTAATTGAAGCAAAAACCTCTGAGTCTGGAATTGCGCCGACTGACCAAAGAGGTAGACATGGTAATCAACCGAAATCAGATCCAGAAGTGCTAGAATCAGTTCATCATTACAGCCATTCACAAGTCCACTGCTGAACATAGGCCTCCCCCAAGTAATGCCACAAAGCACGGTCCTGGGCCACCTGCATCCATCAACTTCCTGCATGTCTTACCAGGTCGTCACTCCGTGTAGTGGGGGGTCGCCCTACACTACGCCTACCGGTACGAGGCTGCCACTCGAGAACCTTTCTTCCCCATCGGTTATCGGTTCTTCGAGCTATATGGCCGGCCCATTGCCACTTCAGCTTACTAATCCGTTGGGCTATGTCGGTCACTCTGGTTTTACTGCGGATATCCTCATTTCTGAGTCTATCACGCAGAGAAACTCCGAGCATAGCCCTCTCCATAGCTCGCTGAGCGACCTTGAGCGTCCTAATACGGCCAGCAGTGAAGGACCACGTCTCAGATCCGTAAGTCATCACTGGCAACACGATGGTGTACACTTTAGTTTTCAGAGATTGAGGTATACCTGACGAGAAGATGTGTCGTAATTTCCCGAACGCTGCCCAGCCGAGTTGAATCCGTTGATTGACCCCTCGGTCGAAGTTGGACTTACCTAGTCGGACTGTTTGTCCCAGGTAAACGTACTCGTCAACAACTTCGAGCATAGTGCTCCCAACAACTACCGCGGCATAGGTGAGACATGGACATTAAACATGATCTTTGTTTTGTCCATGTTCATCTTAAGACCTATCCGTTGGGAGACACCATTGAGGTCATTGAGCATAGTGCTAAGGTCCTCCAGCGATTTTGTCATAAGGACTGTATCGTCAGCAAATCGAAGGTGAGTGATGTACTTGCCATTGATGTTAATACCGTATCCTTTCCAGTCCAGTAGCTTGAAAAGTCTTCCAATGCAGCGGTGAAGAGTTTCGGAGATATAACGTCACCCTGTCTTACACCTCTCTGCAGTTGGATAGGTTTCGAGCTCTGATTCTGTACTCGGATAGCCATCGTAGCCCTACTGTACAAACACTTCAGTACTTCGATATACCGACAGTCAACTTGGCACCGCTGAAGGGACTGTAGCACCGCCCAAATTTCGACGAAATCAAAGGCTTTCTCATAGTCCACATACGCCAGGCAAGGTGGCAGATTGTACTCTTCGGTCTTCTGTACAATCTGTCGCAGGGTATATATGTGGTCTATGGTACTGAAGCCTTTTCGGAAACCGGCTTGTTCGGGAGGCTGGAAGTCGTCGAGTCTGCGTGCGAGACGATTCATAATGACTCTCGAAAACAGCACGTAGACGCGGCTCAAAATGGAAATCGGTCTGTAGTTCTTCAAGAGAGCGTTATCGCCTTCTTAAAGAACAAGACCACCGCACTTCTGCTCCACGCCTCCGGAGTAGTGCCACCATGGAGGACGGAATTGAAGAGCTTTTGAAGGACTTCAAGTACCGGTGTTCCACCCGCTTTCAGAAGCTCCGCTGTAATTCCATCCTCGCCTGGGGCCCTGTCGTTTTTAAGTGTGCTAGAGAACCATTCTAATCTCGCTCAGACTGACGTCTGGGATATCATCGGAATAGTGTCGGGTAAGACTTGCTCTTGGATCGTTACTCACAATTGCGTGTGGCTCCAACGATGATGTGTACAGTGTGCCCATAGAACACTCAAAATCTCAGGTGTCTCGCAAACAATGCTGCCACACTCAGTCTTCAGCTTTGACAGTTGGCTCTTTCTGGCAGACAGATCTCTGGCAAAGACTTTGGAGCCCTGGTTCCGCTCGATCGCTTCTTTAATACGAGCAGTATTAAAGTTGCGTAAGTCTCGCCGCATGCATTTGGAGATCTGTCTGTTCAGTTGCCTGTATGCTGTCAAATCTGTTGACGATTGCAGCCTCATTTCCCGTCTAACAGCCATGAGATTAAGAGTGTGATCGGATAGTTTTTCTGTTCTTCTGCGGCGGGTCTTGTAGAACTTAGCTCCGACCGCATGGACAGTTTCCACGAGCTTGTCATTCATATCGTCCACTGCATTGCATTCTTCTAGGCACTGAAAGCGGTTACGTAACTCGAGCTGAAAAGTCTCGGGATTTTGGATTAGAGCACGAGGGGGGACGGAGCGTTGACTTCATTAGACGAAACCTCTCCAACTTATCGTTTAGGTTCAGTGTGCCTCTAACCAAGAGAATCAGTTCACCAGCATATAAATACAGTTTCGAGAATTGAAAGACATTATTTACGTGCTAATACCAGCCGCGAGTTTATTGATGGTGGACTAACCTTGGCAGCCTTACATCGCGACTATGAATGCCAGCGCAGAAATGCTGGTAAAGAAGCTGCTACATTGTACATATACGTACAACTAATACGTACAACTAGTACAAATAATACGTTATGGTGGGATGATGAGATACTTATGGAAGTTGAAGCAAAGAAGAGAGCATGGCTAGATTTACTAGTAACAAAGGCTGGTAATTCTAGCGGTACGAATGATATCATCATTAGAAAGAAAAAAGGCAGTCTTTAGACATCTTAATAAGAGAGTAAAAGAAGTAGTTGAAAAAAAAGCAAGAAAGAACGGATAAGAATGATAGAAGAATATCGGATAACTTCCAGTCAAATATTAAAATGTTCTGGAACTTTGTAAGAACTGCCAGGGGACATTCAAAACAGCCTATGATAAATGCTATAAGAGACGAGAATGGCTATATTCTGAATGATGAAGTTTTGAGTTTAAAGAGATGGAAGGAATATTTTGAAAGCGTGTTTATGAGTGAGGAGACAACGTGTGTACTAAGTGTAGTAGAAATTCCGAAAGAAGAGGAAAGAGGTAGCGAGATAAGTATAGATGAAATAATGAAAGCAATGAAAAGCATGAAAGCTGGTAAGGCTGCCGGATATGATAGAGTTTCACTCGAAATGCTAAGGGCTGGAGAGGAAGTTGTGGCAGGCCTGCTGCAAAACTTGTTCAATTTATGCTGGGAACTGAAGCGGGTACCGGTAGAATGGTGCAAAGCCGTGATAGTCCCAGTATATAAAGGAAAAGGGTCGCAGCAGGACTGTAAAAACTACCGTGGCATCAGCCTTCTTAGCATTGTGGGAAAACTGTATGCTAAGGTACTGATTGAAAGGGTCATGAAAGAAACTGATGGAAAAATTTGGGATGTGCAAGCGGGATTTAGAAAGGGTAGATGTACAGATCAAGTCTTTTCCATGCGCATGATCGCGGAGAAGTTTTTGGCCAAAAACCAAAAGGTTTTTTGTGCGTTCATGGACTTAGAAAAGGCCTATGACAGAGTGGATAGGGATGTGCTATGGCAAACACTGAACTCATTTGGGTTGAGCGCTGGGTTGATACATGCATTGGAGTCTCTTTATAGGGACACTAATGCTTGTGTTAGGATCAACGGGGTCTACTCGGACTGGATCATTCATAAAGGTGTCAGAACGGGCTCTGTGGCTTCCCCGTGGCTGTTCAACCTATTTATGGACAGTTGTTTGCAAAATTTGAAAGTTGAATAATGCGGATTAAGAATGGGTGAGTTAGCCGTCAAATGCCTTTTGTACGCCGATCATCAAGTTATCCTTGCGTCGTCGGCGGCCGAGTTGCAAATGATGGTTACATTAATGAACAGATCATTAAAAGAAAGGGGTATGAAAGTGAACGCAAGTAAGACGAAGGTTATGGTTTTTGAAAGAGAAGAAAGTAAAACGATTTGTGAAATAAGAATAGAAGGGGAGTTGATCGAGCAAGTAGATGAGTTTGTGTATTTGGGCTGCGTATTTAGCAGGGATGGGAGATATGACAAGGATATAGAACGACGAGTGAATGCGGGAAATAGAGTAAATGGGGCCCTGCACTCTATTGTGAAGAGTCAAAATGTGTCAAAAAAGGCACGTATGGCAATTTACAATGCTGTGTTGGTCCCTACTTTAACGTATGGTAGTGAAAGTTGGGTGTGGCAGAAGAAGCACGAGAGTAGAATCAACGCCGAAGAAATGTGGTCGTTAAGGAGTATGCTAGGGCTGAATCGGAACGACAGGGTAAGAAATTGTGTAATAAGAGAAGAGTGTGGTTTGCAAGATGATGTTGTGACCAGGATTAAGAAAGGAATGCTTCGGTGGTTTGGTCATGTGGAAAGAATGAATGAGGAAAGAGTGACAAAGAAAATTTATATTACAGAAGTGAATGGCAGAGTCAGAAAGGGACGTCCTGGGCGAAAATTTATCGACCAAATTGGTGATTTATTGAAAACGGGCCAAATTAGGAGTACCCTTAACCAACGATGACGTATGCGTAGGTGTATGGATGTGACGGAGGCGAGAGAGGTGTGTCAGGATCGTGCCAAATGGAAGTCTGTAGTCTCTGCCTACCCCTCTGGGTGACAGACGTGAGTGTTTATGTATTTATGTATATGTACATTGCACATGTACAGCCAGATTTTTAATACTCAATTTAATATTTCATTCTTCATACCCAAAAAGGATCAATGTAATTTTTGCGAATCATATAAAAATGCAGAAGGTGTTAAAAAAACGGAAATGGAACAACAGTATATAAGACACCAAAGAGAGAAAATGTT